CCTGTCTTTCCCCACACATCCTTGAAGGTTTGGACTGCTGGAGCAGAAGCACCTGTATGAAGTCAGTCAGGCTCAGAGAATAAAGAAAATGCAGCAGTCAACACTGTGCCTTCTCTTTGGACCACACACAAGGCCTCAAGACCCTCCACCAACCTGCTCACAGCTCAGACCACAAAACTGCAACCCACCCCCCTCCAGGTCCACCTTCTCTGCAGCCTGAGAAACATACCTGTGGAGGCTATATCTTCTAGGCCCCGGCCTTCAACATATGTCTTACAGTTGAGGTAGTATGTGTCCTTCCCAACACCTCCCAGGTGATGGTGTTGCCTGGGCAACAGTGATGTCACCTGAGGTACTTCCATTCCAATGATGTCACTGGATGGGCCATGTGGGTAGAGGGGGTATATGTTCTCTATAGGAAAACATCAGGGGTCCTAGCCATTGAGGAAGATTCAAGAGGGCCTCTGGGGCACTCTAAAAGATGTGTTTTTCTCTTGAGAAAGTCTTCCCACCTTGCTTTTCTGTCTGGGTACCTGCTATAGGCCATACTTCTAGCCAACTTTCCCTCTCCCTGACTAGACAAGGAAGGTCAGGACCAGCAGCTTTGTCCTCAGTTTGGAGGGACACAGGGTCTCCTTCTGTCCCCGTGGCCTTGCTCTTTGTCCAGACATCAGAACACAAAGCAGTGGCTTGATGGGAGCTCGGAACAGAATCTTAACTGACTTTTGTGTTGGAAGCTCAGACTAGTCGCACTGTGGCCTAGGCCAAGCACTGTGCTATGTGCTTTTCATCCAACTCAGCCCTAAGATGACAGGTTATTCTCATCTTAAAGAAGATAAAACCAAGGCTTGGAATAGACAAGGTACTTGCCAACTTCTAAAAACACCCAATTCTTGAACAGTAGAGCCAGGATTCAACCTGACCTATTCCTCCAAAGCCCAGGTAGGCCATGCCTCCTTGGTCCTGGAACATCTGGAGATGTGGCAAACTAACCATGAATTCAGAGTGGCCCCAGAGAGAGACCAAGGAGAGAGGCCGGTTGGGCAGAGCAGGTGGCCCTTGGGCAGCCAAAGTACTACCCGTCCTATGCAGATTCTAAGAGGCCACTTGGGTTTTTCCATTCCCTGGGACCCCAGTGCTAATTAAGGACCATGTTTCTTTGTTCGGTGCTTGGCTTCTATTGACCCATCCAGGTCACTTGAGCATTCCATTGATTTGCATACAGCAAAGCGCACAGCCCTACAACCCTGAGATTATATGATGTTTATCTTATGCAAATGCAAATATATGTAGCTGAGAGTTACTGCTCACAAAGTACTAAACAAATAAGTAAATAAAAGGTGGAAAGCTACATTATGAAAATATAAAGGGAGAAAGCCTACCTGGCAAATACTGTCCTTGAGGCCTGGCCAAAGAACGTACATAGTTCAGCCAGGCTGAAGTGAGTATCAGGTCTACCTAGCATGGAGCTCTCCATTGCCAAGAGGTTCTCAGAGGTGGACAGAGCTCTGTACTACTAGACATCAGTGCCAACTTACCCTCCTTCCTGGCTGTGACTCCAGTTTGCTCAGCAGAGGTTTCCCATCAGGCTTGCCCAGGATGCAGGGAACAGACAACATCCAGTCTGTGTGATGTTAAGCGAGTTTCCTTATGAATTAATGAGCTTGTGTTCTGACTTGTACTTTCTTTCTAGAGCTTTCTCAGGGTGATTCCAGAGCCTGAGTGCAACTCTCCCCACCTCCTAAAAATTATATAAATAGGGTTTCTAAGTGGGAATAGCTAAAAGAAGCCCCTGAAACTTGTGACATGATCCACCCAGGTAAATACCACCCACTAGGCAATCTGTTGGCCACGAGCCTCCATGGATGGTCTATGCTTTAAAGTGCTCGTTTCGGTTAATTAAAAACTGAGACAGCGGTGTGGGAACTAAGGGATTATTGAATTGGAGCTAACAGAGAGTTGGCAAAGGTTTTCTGGATGGTCTTGGGAAAGATGTGTGGATGAACAGGATTTGATGGAGGAAGGAAGAGGACACAGATGAGGATGAAGGGTTTTGAGGAGTAGGGAAGCGTGTTCAACACTCCTCACCTGCTTCTACTCCTTGGGAGATTCTGCCTAGGCCGGGCCATGCCTGTAGCTGTCACCTTTTCTATCTGTACCAAACCCAGGTGGCACTTTACTCATCCTTCTCAGTCTGGGCTGCAAAGTGGGTCTTCCATCTGACACCACCAGTCATCAAGAAGGAAGGTTACTTGACGCTTGGGCCAAGCCTCACAAATACAGTCAAGGCTGGGCTTGCCTCTTTCCTTCTTTCCTTCTCCAACTGGAAAAGTCTGTTATCCTTGTTTCGATTGGCTGAGGGCTGTTATCTTGTCCTTTAACAAGGAAAAAGGCAACTGCTCTTTCCTCTTTTCTGTACGAGCCCCCGACCCAACCAACTTTTAAGCTTACTCTGCTTTAGGCTCTGTGCATGCTTAGCGATTAGAACTCAGCTTCCAGACTCCCAAACACTTTATTTCCCTAGGTCTCGGTTTCATGATCTGTAAAATGGGGATAAAAATACCATATGGGCCAACTATAAGGACTGAATGAGTTTAAACAGGTGAAGTGCTTTTAGGTTGGGGGAGAAAAAGAAACTGGGCAATATTAAATTCTTAATAATTAGCTGCTGACTGGTTGTTCAGATAATGTACTGCTCAAGGGCACCAGGCTGGGGGATGAAGCCCGGCTACTTAGCTATGGTGTCCCTGGTTTTAATATTTTATTATTTTTTTATTTTATGTATATGTGTGTATTACCTACAGGTATGTAAGTGCACCCGTGTCAAGCAATGCCCACAGAGTGCAGAAGAGGGCGCTGAATTCTTCTAGAACTGGAGTTACAGACAATTGTTAGCCACGATGTGGGTGCTGGGAATAGAACCCTGGTCCTCTGTGAGAGCAGTCAGTGCTCTTAACCACTGAGGTATCTCTCCAGCCCCAGAATCCCTGGTTTTAAATGGCACCAAACATCATCCTCTTGCTAAGAGGGAAGCAATGTATTCTGATTCACACAAGTGGCTAAGACAGGCAGCAGCAGTCCTGATGGTTTTCATCAGCTCTCAGCATCCTCAGTTCATCAAGAATGGGGGATGGACCAGCCTCTGCCATGAATCAGGATCTGCTTTTTTGGAAAACCTGGCCTTTTCTTAGTACACGTCTCCATTACAGCCCGAGGCTGCAGCGCCCCATCATCCTTACTGTGGGTACCTCTCATCTCCAAAGAGGGAAATACAGAGGCATGGGCCCAGAAGGCACCTTCCTCTTCATACCTGTGGATGTTCGTGCCTCTGCCGACATTGATGGTCAACACATCTGCTGAGCTCTAAAGTTCTATCGAGCCTCATCTTTCTGTTTCTTCTAATCAGAGAATCTGTGGCCATACTGGGCCAGTTTCAATGCTTGGACACCTGACAGCCATAGTTACACGTCCTGCACTTCCCATCCCTGTTAGAAGTGGCCGGCTGTCTCTTTCTCCTTCATGAGTGGACTGTCTACACAATCCCAGCCTTTCTCCTTTGTATAAGTTCTGGCTTGCCAGTGGTGTCCCTTGAAGAAGTGGTTTCAAGAACTGGGTTAGTGTACTCTATTGACTCAACCCTACTTTTGTGGGGTGCTCTGTGTGGGTGCTTACCACTTGTCTCTGTGGAGACTAGGCATCCTTTTATCAGACAGGACTCCTTATTCTAACCCCAGAAGGTCCAAAAAGGGAAAAACACAAAACCAAGTTCCACCCAGACAGAGGGCAATTATCTCCCTAGAAATTGCTGCACCTTCTTGCTCTCTGAAATGTTTACCCAGGCACTCTGTTTTTCCTCATGGGCTCAGAGAGGTGACAACTTCTCTGGGATGGTTATACCAGGTTAAAAGTTCAGGTCTTTGCCCCCTGAAAACCAGAGCCTGAAATTACTGATCTTTGAAAATTACCCACACAGGGGATCCATTCAGACACAGGGAATAACCACTTCGTGGTTACCCACAAGTGGAAAACTTGAAGACAGAATAGCCTGGAGCAGCAGCAAAGCACAGGGAATTAGCAAACAATGACTGCCAGTTAGGTACAGCAGACAGGCAGAACTCCACACAGCCTGCTCTGTTATTAACCAGGTGAGTGATCACAGCCCCAGCCAACCCCATTTTCACTGCTAACCTAGGCTGAGGACCACACAGCTGTGTTGGCTTTAGCTGGTAGCCTCTCCAAAGTACAACTGGTTTGTAAATGCTAAGAAATCCGGCAAACAACAGGGTAAAAGGCTAAATGACGTTCTTCCCCTGTTCAATTATTTTCCCATTTCAGATGGGGAGTCATCCTGGGGCTTCTGAGCCTCAGCGGCCAGAATGAGGGAACCCAGAGTGGGGCTTGAGGATGGGGTTAGGTGTCAAAGGCAGAGACCATTTGCAGTCAAGAGAGAGTTTTGCATAGCATGGGGTCTACTTCACTAAAGGCCTTGAAAGAAAGAGGAAGTGACAGGGGCTTCATCCGGCCTGAAGCAACCTTGTTGCGTCAACACAAGCTACGAAGAAACAAACGTCACTCCCACTCCTTTCTTCCAGAAGGGGAGGCATGGCTGCTGAGCCCCGCAGGTCGGCTTTAGGTACTAAAGGTCCGGGCTCTAGGTACAGACACGTGGCCCCGCCTGGGGCTCCGATGCTCGCCGCGCCTGCCGGTACCGCGGATGGCGGGAAGCACCCGGGGCTCCGCGGCTCGGGCAGGAGCGGAGAGACCCCTAGTGCATCACACACGACGGGTGACCGCGAGGGACAATGCACGCGTGCTTTAAAGGAATCCCTAAAGTCGGTTCCCACCAAGGTCCCCGCAGGCGCCCGCGCTCCCCGCACCCCCGTTTGCCCTGCGCTCCGGGCCGCGACCTCCTTCGCAGCCTTGCCGGGTGCCTGGTCCCCATCGCGCCCTTATCCCACACGTGAGGCGCAGCACAGCCGGTATTCTGGCCAGGGACTTACGGTCGGCCTCCGCCCCCTGCCTGCGGCGAGGGGACTGCGTGGACCAGGCTCCGCGCGCGGGTCGGGGTCCAGGGTCTGCAGGCTGCCGGTCCAGGGTCTGCAGGCTGTCGGGATCCAAGGATGCGGGGGACTGGACCGCAGCGGGTTCCCGCCTCCCAGCCTCCACCCACCGAGCTCTACTGGGCTACGGAGTTACTCATTTCCTGGATGTCACGGAAACTTTTTCCTCCTTATAAGAACAAAACACCCGCCTCTACTGGCGCGGGCCAAGCTCTTTAAGGACGTCCGTGCGGGTTGTCGGGGACAGGCACTGAGTCCTTCCTGGGGACCTTCCCCGTGGTCTCCGGACACCGCAGAGAGGACAGCGGAACTGGAGAGCGACTTCTCGGGACGAGATGTGGCCAGTGGAGTGAAGCGAGGCGACCAGACAAGGGAAATGGAAGGTCGCCCTTAAAAGTCGATCTTGGCCACAGTATGGAAAGGGTTAAATCAATACAAGTCTAGGAGCGTTTCTGTGGCGCGTTTTACAAGCGGTAGAATTCCAGGGGCCACCTATTTTGTCCCTTGGAGGAAAATATAAATCGGGACGCAACGCCAGCTCTTTCCTGCAGCTTGAGTGACTTAAAACAACTCACCAAATTTTGTGGTTAATGAATGCATTGTTATCCCTCTGTCCGGGAACAAAGGAATCCTGATGCCGAAGGGGGCGCTCTCCTTTCCAGTTGTGAAGTTTGATACAGGGTTGCCAGCTAGGTGTTTTAGAGCTGAGGAACCAGTAGTGTAGTTCATTGGTAGAACACTTACCTTAAACAAAAGTTTAAGCCTCTACTCACAACCTTCCTATTGTGAACTGCACATTCCCAGGGCCCTGTGGAAATGGCTGGGAAGGACTGGGATGAATTATCAATCTGTTTCAGGAGCGCCTAGGGAAAGCTGAGGGAATTAGAACACCCAGTCCAGAGATTAACACCCTTGCTACTAGCATTTGGTCTTAGATCACCTTGCTTTTCTTCTCCATCCAGCCAAGAAACTTTTAACACTCTCCTGGAACACATTAGGCTGAGTCTGAAAGATAAACAGGCAATGAGAAAAAGTTCTAAAAATAGACCCCTTGGCCCCTGGCCCAGGGCACTTTTATGTTCAGTCTTTCCCTAGCTGCTGCTCACAGCTTTTTCCTGACTTCGGGGTTTCTTACTGAAGAGTTTGGAGGCTGGGGAAGGGAGATGGACTTTGGAAAACATTCTCCAAAGAGTTGTGTGTTTCCAAAATGTGTACAAGTTGAATGGGCGTGGCACCTATCTCTCCACCTTCCCCAGAACAGGTTGGGGAAGTTACGTGTCCGCCTCCCCCCCCCCACCCCACAGTGAGGCCAGTCCTTTGACAGAGTTCAGGGTTATGATTGGAATGTCAAAGTCAGTGCTTGAGTGCTCTCTGGGATTGTTTTGTGGCCAGCAAAATCTATTCCAGCAATTTCTAACAGACTGCGTATATTTATTTATATAAGGAGCATTTATTGTATTAGTTTGTCTTCAAACCTGATGATTTCATCCTAATGCTATCTTTTATAGTTTCCTGTCACTGTTCTCAGGACTAGGTTCACCATCCTAACCTGGCATACAAGCCATTCATGAACTGGCCTCTTTTTATGTGCCCACGCCTGTATTTCACTCCATGTGACACACCAAACTCCTTACAGTTCTTGGAATCTGTGCTTCTCAGAACACCACCGGCTGTTGGGTTGTTTGCCTAGCCCCCACCCCTGAGCTTTATCTTTTGTCTCCAGCCTCCACCTCACCTTTTCCTCCAACCTGTCACCCCAGTGCACACACTCATTATTTGTTCCTAGTTATGTAATCAATACTTAGGTCCCAGGAAAGGCAATCATTCCTAGAGCAATTCTCACCTGGACTGGACACTCACTTAGGGATGGGGTGGGGCAATTAGGGGCCATTCAAGTCTTGGAGCCTACAAAGATAGAAATTTAGATTTAAGACCTCTGACCAAAGCTCTGGGAAAGTGTTTTTAAGTAACAGGAAGATGGGAAAATCCTCCTTCCCTTGGCACAGGATTAGCAAGGAAGCTCACAGTTTTGGGCCTGAGCCAATTAAAAAACAGTGGTGTGTGCTTGTAATCCTAGGGAGTCTGAGGCAGAGGATTGTGAGTTCAATGCCAGTGTGTATAACTTACCCAAACTCATCTCAAAATAAATAAAAAATTTCAAAGGATTGGGTATGTAACTCAGTGGTCCTATATCCAACCCCCAGTACCATATACAAAGAATAATTTTAAATTAACTAAGAAATGAATTGTATGAGATTTATCAATATATAGACCTAATAAACAGAAGAATTACCCCTAAGAATAATTTGAAAAAGAGTATAAAGTAGTCAAGGCCAGGCTGAGGGAATAACTAAGTAGAAGGGCATCTGGCCTACTGTGCTCGAAGCCTTGGTTAGATCTCCAGTCCTGGGGTACAGAGGGGCAGCAATAGTCAGAATGTAGACACAAAAAGGTAGAGCAGACATAAATTTGAAAAGCTACAAATATACAGAAATAAAAATTCACTATATTTAGATATTAAAATTAATTATATTAAAATTTTTCTATTAAAATAAGTAAAATAGTAAAATAAGTAATATATTATTAGTCCAAAATTTAAATGACTCATGAAAAAAAGGGAAAGAAAGAAAAGTAATAATTTCACTTAGGAGTTCTATGTCAGAAATCTTAAATAAAAGATTAGCAAACAGAATCCCAGCAGCACATCAAAAGAATATTATAACATGAACAGATCACAAGAGAAAAACTAAAACTTGGACACCATGACAAATGCTGAAGGGTCCTTAGATATAATTCCACATCCGGAAATAAACAAACACTCCTGCAACATGACTGAAACAAAGGCTTCTGGATCAATACCATGACTGCCGGGAACACTCCAGACCTTGAATGTTTAAGTCAGTGCCAGACAAGAATACCCCCTTCCATCTATTTCTTGTTTTTCTTCCTTTTCTTATTTCTTCCCTCCATCCTTCCCTCCCTTCCTTTCCTTGCTATGTAGCCCAGGCTAGCCTGAAATTGGGACCTCTGTCACAGCCTCCTGATGGCTCATATGTCAGGCCTGTCACCACCCATGCTTTAAACTTTACTAATTAGGAATGTTTTAGAGGGCTGGGGAGTTGGCTCAGGGGTTAAGAGCACTGACTACGCTTGCAGAGGACCCAGGTTTGATTCCCAGCACCCACAAAGCGGCTAACAACAGTCCTAACTCCAGTTCCAGGGGATCCAATGCTCTTTTCTGACCTCTGTGGGCACTTCACAACACGGGTGCACTCACACATATGCAGGCAGTACACTCATATACATAAAATAAAAATAATAAGTAAAATATTTTAAAAAAGAATGTTTTAGGGGGAGCTAGAGAGATGGCTTAGCAGTTAAGAATGTTTACTGTGCAATCATGAAGACCAGAGTTCAGATCCCATCACCCACGTAACAAGCCATGCATCTGTTTTACACACCAGTAAATACACACACACACACACACACACACACACACACACAAATAAGTTTTGAAAAGAATGTTTTATTAGCAAATAAAAGAATATACAACTAAGTTGATGTGTGTAAGACTATAAAACGTTTAAACAAATGAGGCGTCTCTTTCTGTTAAATAAGAAACTTGTGCATAGGTGGCTGTTTTTGTTCAAGGCCTTGATTATTTGAAGGCTGATCAAAGCTTATGTGTATTTACTGTTTTTTTTTTTTCCCAGATACTGCAAAACTGCTCTCCAAAGAGATTTCACCAATTTAACCCCTTGCTAATAGAGTATGAGATTGCCTGTTTCCCCACATCTTTGCCAGCACTGGGTCCTCCCTCTATCCCTTTTTCCCTCTGCCCCTTATCCCTCCATTCCTTCCCACAAGGTCTCACTCTGTAGCCTAGGTTGGCCTGGAACTCACTTTCCTCTTTTTTTTTTTTTGGTCTTTTTGAGACAGGGTCTCTCTGTAGCCCCAGCTGACCTGGAACTCACTATGTAGACCAGGCTGGCCTTGAACTCACAGAGCTCTGCCTGCCTCTGCCTCCCAAGTGCTGGGGCTAAAGGTGTGTGCCACCACGCCTGGCTACTTTCCTCCTTTTTTAACGCCCCCCCCCCCAGGGATTATAGACATGTACCACCATGCCCAGTTTACACTGGGTATTTTCTGATTAGTTTGTTCATTTCACAGGTTAAAAAAGACATCCCGCTGACTCATTTGTATTTCTTTAATTATGAGTGAAACCAAACAAAACGTTTTCCAAAATTTTTTGATTAGCACATAAAGAAATAAGGATTCAGGGCTCGAAAGATGGCTCAGCAGTTAAGAGCACTGACTACTCTTGGAGAGGACCTAGGTTCAGTTCCCAGAACCTACATGGAGGCTAACAACCATCCATAACTCCAGTTCCAGAGGATCTGACACCCTCTTCTGACCTCTGTGGGCACTGCATGACAAGAGTGCACTTACGTACATGCAGGTAATATACTCATACACATAAAATAAAAATAATGAAATATTTTTTAAGAGCACTGACTACTCTTGGAGAGGACCTAGGTTCAGTTCCCAGAACCTACATGGAGGCTAACAACCATCCATAACTCCAGTTCCAGAGGATCTGACACCCTCTTCTGACCTCTGTGGGCACTGCATGACAAGAGTGCACTTACGTACATGCAGGTAATATACTCATACACATAAAATAAAAATAATGAAATATTTTTTA